CAAAAAGTGAATACATAATGAAGGGAACTAGCATATATATGCCACGAATCAATGGGAAAAATGGAGCCAACTCCATGTGCTCCAAATGGCGCCAATTTTGAATTCAAATTCAAATTTGAATTCCAAATTGGACGTTCACTATGTTCCCCCATGTGGCAGCCACCTTTCTAGAATCCTACTTACATTTAAATGTAATTTAGGGTTCATTTGAGTTATGACATGTGCAGCCACCCTTGGCACAAAACATGTGACTCAAATGTAACTTAAATGGCTTCCAAATTAAACCTAGTTTAACCTAATTAGCATACTTTAGTATTCCTTGTATTTTCCTATTCTAATGACCTAATTACATTGGTCAAACAAATACAATGGAAAGGAAAAATTACAAGAATTAAAATAAGTCCAATATTGGGTGCCAAAAGCCCAAAGGCCCATGAAGCCCAAAACTAGGCGCAATAAGCCTATGGCCCAAAATGTTACTCTATGTGGTCTAAAATACACGACCAAAATATATGAAACCTATAATAATATAAGATATACAAAATATAAGAAAATTGATATCTCAAGATATAGCCTATATGAAGTTCAACTTGGGCCTTCCAAGCCCATCGGGCCCATTAGGCCTTGACTGGCCCAAATTTTCATGTCTAGCTCATACCTCTTGGTTCCTACAAGTTATCACCTCTTGCCCTCTTAGTCATGATTCTATCACTTTGGAAGAGGTAAAACCAAGAAGGGTGAAGGTTGATCCAAGGAGGCTCACACTTGAAGACCATTGGGCTTTTAACTAGGTCCATGGTTAGGAGGCTAGAAGAGGCTTCTATAGAGGAGCTGCTTCTTAGACCTTTTCTTTGGTGGATCTAGTTGTCATGTTTCTTGAATGATTCATATACGCGTTTATGTTCAATTGCTTTTCATGCATCATGCTCCATTTCTTATGCCTTTAGGAAAATTCTGCCTATGATCATTTTTGTTTTACTTGAGTCTTATTTGAAATTTTTTTCGGTCATTGTGTGTTTGAGTAATTTTTCTTTTTGAATCCATGTCTAGAAGTCATGTGTAGTTCTTTCTTTGTTGAAAATTCTTGCTATGCTTGTTTAACTTTTTGTTTTCATCTTCTTGTGAACATTTTCTGGATTTGGCCGAGATCCTTTTAGTCCTTGTGTGCTCATTAGTAGTTTTCTTAGATTTTAGGTTTCTTATGTTCTAAAATGTCTTGCAATTCTTTTTCTCTATCCGTGAGTTTGATCTTGTGTAATTTCTAGTTGCTAAAATTTTTTGTTTAAGATCCATTTGAAATTTGAATTTAGGAGCCAAAACCGTGGCATGTGCTAAAAAAACAAGCAAGTGAAAAAAGCATGTTAAATTTACATTACATCTTGACCTAATTTCTTTTCCATTTGAATTTCAAAATTTGAAACGGTTTTGTGCTTAAAATAACCTTTGAGGAAAAGGAATTGGAGGGCGATAAACAGTTTGAGGCTTTGATGAAGATACTTTTTCTTTTTCTAATCTCTCTTTTTCAGGTTTTTCAACCATAGGAGAAGCGTCTTCATCAATCTCAATATTATCATTTTGATTAGACACAGGTCTGTCTAATTTCTTCCCACTCCTTAAAGTAACAGCATTAACATTTTCAGCTGGGTTTGCAACTGTTTTACCTGGGAACTTACCTGGAGAATTGTTTGAACTAGGCATCAACTGTGCAATTTGATTTTCCAGCATCTTGTTGTGGAGAGTAATATTCTCAACCTTGACAGCAAGGTTTTGAATAGAATTTGCCATTGAATCATTGGTCTGTTTTTGATTAGTGACAAAATTCTCCATAAGGTTTTCTAATCTTGAAACACTTTGTTGAATTGAGGGTGTCTGTACTGGATTTCCTTCCCCATTAATGAAGTGATTGGACGGACGGAAATTAGGTTGCTGATTGCTAGTTCCTTGAACTGGGTTATTCTTCCAAGAAAAGTTAGGATGATTCTTCCAACCAGGGTTGTATGTGTTGGAATATGGATTACTCTTCTCTCTTCGAGGAGTGTCATAGAAATTATGAGAAGCTGCCACCTGTTCAGTAGTATCTTCTTTTTCTCCAGTAAAAATTGAGGTACAATCTACTGCAGTGTGCCCTTGTTCCCTACAAAGGTCACATACTTGATTTGTAGCCACTGAATTAACCTTAGCTTTTTCCATCTTGTCTAATCTTTGATTAAGAGTATCAAATTTTGCTAAGAGTAACTCAATATTGTTCACTTCATATCGCCCCGGAGTTCCTTTCCTTGCTGTGACTTCTCTTTCACTGTATTGGCTGTGATTTGAGGCTACATTTTCCAAAATAATCATGCAGTCATTAATAGGTTTCCCCATGAAAGATCCTCCAGCTGCTGAGTCTAATATCATGGTGCTTTGTTGGTCCAATCCTTCAAAGAAAAATTGGATGGTAAGCCAACGGTTGAAGCCATGTTGTGGGCATGCTTGAAGATATCCTTTGAACC